CGCTTTTCACCCGCATGCAAGAGAAGACCAAAATACAGGCACATGAGTTGCCGTTTTAAACTGTAGAGAAGCAACCATTCATACTGTTAACGATCTGACTGCGTCAAGTTCAACGCAAAAACGCATGATCGCATGGGCAAGACTGATGCGTTGCTACCTGAGTTTTATTAAAAGGTGGCTCGCGAACTTAAGTATGTAAATTAAGCTCGCGTATCGCATAAGGTTGTCCATATCTAGGGTATACTGACCATCTTACTGACAACCGGTGAACGTTGCTTACTGGTAGTGGGTACCAGCGAGAAGTAAACAATCATTCGGGCGGTTTTCGAAGAAAACCAGCACAAATATCATCGAACAAGCGGTGATTACTAAACGGAGGTAAGCAGCCTAGAAAAGAGAGGCCTGATATAGTCGTGCCCCGAACGCAGGAATATTTCAGGAACAACACTGACTTAAGACACATTAAGTGACCGGGCAGTGCTAAAATTTTGCTCTTGTTCCAATAAAGAGTACATGACAAAATTTAACCAAAACGTTTTTTACGCGATAATTTCTTGCGACGCCTGTGTTTTGCTTCCGGATCAGGCATCGTTGGTTGCTTGACTCTATAAGCTGGCGTACTTCCTATTCGTGAGCCACGCAACTGTGCACAATGCGGCAGAATGGGGGGATTCCGCAAAAATATACCGCGTCCTTCAGGCGTATGAGCACGGATGCGAATTTCTCCAGGCCGAGATGTGACACATATCCAACCAAGTGATGAGAGCACAATGTCACCGCAGCCTTTCGATGATCCAGAACTTTTCAGTGTCAATTCAACAAGTTCCAGCTGAACAAAAATCGAAATCATTCAAGTGAAACTGGAGATATTATTAAGAAAAAAGTAAGCAGGAGATGCAATGCATTCAGAACTGAGCAGAAAAGGTGGAATGTCAGCAGCCAAATCCACATCACGAGGCGGGAAACAAAATACTAAGACTTCCGGATCATCGGTTTTGAAATCAAGGTGGCGTTACAGGGATGCCTTCAAATGCCAGGCATAGCTATGACAGGGTCTTTGATCCTAGGCTATAAACTAACAACCATTAGTCACTCAAGAAATAGTCAAGAAGACAAAACGAGAGCAAGTATTTTTGAGGAAATGACACAGAATTTTTCTGCATAAAAAAAAGTGAGCACAAGCAACACATCTGTGAACTTACATCCGGAAATCGTGCAATTCGTTCAGCGTTGCCAAAAGGCACAACAAGAACAGCGCTTCCCAAATGCTGCTTACGAAAAGACGAAGCTTCAGATGTCTGCCGTACGAAGATCGGCAACTGTTCGCTGGCGAAAACTGTCAGCTGAAAATTTTTTTGAATGAAATTGGTTTCTACAGGGAATGTGAGAGAAAAACATACATCGCCGTTAACTCGAAAAAATGAAATACTAAAGACTTTCGACTTGAAATAACTGGGCTAGATTTACAGTGGCAACGAAATCCACTAAGCCACATACTAGAACACCTGGCCGCCTTCCTTCGTAGTCTTTATCGGATATGGGTTTGGACACTGAAGGCAGACTCAGGACATCAATCTGCGCCACTCCACCGATCAGAAGTGATTCTTCCGGATGTATGATAAATGTGCGCGGCAATATCATTCTTCGTGGCAAAACGGCAATCAGTTCATCAAGCGTGAATAAATCCAAAACCTAAAAAATGCCAATTGCTGAAGTGCAAAACTCATTTTAGTCTTTTGCCAAAGCATATGCGCCTATTTTTAGGCTAGCTGACAACACTTTTTCCCAAAAATCGCAATTTTCCGAAAAAGCTTAGTAGGTTTTAAACGCCCTAATATGTTAGCACCAATTCGCCAATCTCTGGACACAAAAAAGCTGATTATTTTAGTAGTGGGCCTTGAAGTAGGATCTTCAAAAAGGGAGAGCATGGGCGACAGACTACATCACTACGCCACTATATCGGCCAAAAAAATCCGGCCAGCAGCAGCAACTAAAAAGTACCATTTGGATCCCATCTGACTGGGATATGGGAAAAAAGGACGAAAACAGAGAGCAAGAGAGCTAAACTCAACGAGAAAAAAACCGAGGCAAAAAGTGTCGGAGAGCAAGAACTCGCAGAAACCCTATCGCATTTAAACAATAAAAAAACCCTGCAAAATTAAACATCACGTTTCGATTAAGAGTACCGGGAGAAGTCAAAAGCAGCTGCCTTTTTTTTTTTCAAGCTAACAAAATCATCGGGAATAATCCAGTTGTAGAAAGAAAACAGATTAACGGTAAGATATGAAAAGGGTATGGGGAATACCTGCTCACTGTTGACTGTCCCGGGAGTATCATAACACCACTTTCCTTTCGAAAAAATATACAAATCGGCATCGAAACTAAACAGATTATTTATACACAGAATGCAGCTTTCATCGAAACTACGCAGAGTATTTACACGTCGAATGCAGCTTTTCCCTCGCCTGTTGTAAATGCCTATACTTCCGGTGTTGGCAACCACGAAATGCGTACAAGACTAGTTCCCATGCGTTTAAGTAAACTAATAGACTGACCCAATCACAAAATGAGAGAGATTGACTTAGTTTGGTCGAAAAACATTGGGATGCAGGTGAAAATTAGGCCAAATAAACTAATGCTGAGAAAGGAAAAAATTGAAACTCCGCTCAGTCTCGACAATTTCTAGTCCGCTGCCACACTGAACGATGAAGCGCCAGGGATGGAACTTTCTAGAAGACTATTAAAAGACAAGAAAAACAAAATTACGTTTTCGGCTTTGCATTTTCACTTGGTTCATCGGAATCAGCGAGCACCGAGCGAAACGACGGCGGCTGCAATTCCTTTTCACGCTCCTGAAAAAGAACGAAAATCTTCCGAAATTGCCAAAAATAAAACTTCGGAAGTTCAAGTAATCTTTTGAAATGTGTTTATTTTGGTGTTGAAACATATATCCTCAGAGAGAGAGAGAGAGAGAGTTTATCACTCTGCTCTTTACAAGATTTTCTTAATTTTTTATTACTGAATAATGACAATCGGTAAAAAAAACCGTTCAAAAAATGGTAAAAAATGAACCTTGAACGAGTTGCCAATTGCGGCCTGCAGTGTTGCATATTTGATATCACCTGTTGTTTTATATAGATCATATCTCAAGCGTTCCTCCTTGATGCGCCATGCTTGATTTGACAACAGTCTAAATGGTACTCGAATAAATACTACATAAAGCTTATTTATTAAGCTTTTTACGCGTTTGTTCGGTATTACTCAGGTCCTTGATAAATGCCATCTTCGTTCAGCAGCTGAAGGTAGTATAGGCTGGAGAAAAAATTTAGCAAACGAACGATTTTTATGGAACCATTCGTTTACATCGCTCAACTGCCCTGTTGAAAGAGAGCTAGAAATCGAAAGTTTAGAAAAATACCGTCGCCTTCTTATTTCCAGTTTCTGCGGCGAAGGGTTCATCACCGGGAACTTCAGCAACGATATTGTCGTCCCGGGCCACGGAGTGGTGGTTGCGCGCTCCACCAGATCCACAGCACGCACTTTGCATAGATCGGATTGCAGAAACGCGTTGAAGAGAGAGCTGCAAGAAAAAAAAGAGGTTCATAGTTTGTCAGAAACACGCACCGAAATTCAATCTACTGTGCTGACAGTCCAGTCAAGGGTGGTTCATGGATTATGCAAAGAAATAGGGTCAAAAAAGGGCTTTTCCTTGAAAAAATGTCTTCAAGCGTCGAGTACGATTGAGAAATTAGACGAAATTGCAAATAAACGAATGGGGTGCGGTACACCGAATTTTGCATATCTGAGGCAAAATCAGTTTCCACCATAAAGAAGATATGTGAGGCGTAGAATATCAATCAA